ATGTCTGCTACTCCACTTTTCTGCTATAATTTGTCCACCTTATTCCCTCATTCCATTGTCTGCCCCATTCACTAAGGCCTCTCTGCCACTGTAGCTGTAATCCTGATATCTCTTCCTCTCTTTCTCTGTAATGTCCTTCAGCGCTCTCTGTAGGGTTGGATTGGTGGCCACGAACTCCCACAGTTCCTCCTTGTCTTGAAAGTATCTTATTTCTTCATTAATTTTTAGAGAGAGTTTTGATGGATATATGAACTTCGGTTGCATATTTTTTTCCTTCAGGACTTGGAATATTTCTCCCCACTCCCTTCTTGACTTAAGAGTTTGTGTTGATAAGTCTGCTGTTATTTTGATAGATTTCCCATTATAGGTAACCTGCATCTTTTCTCTGGCTGCTTTTAATATTCTGCTTTTAATATTTTTTTGGTGGATTTCTGGGATCTCGATTATTATATGCCTAGGTGTAGATCTGTTTTGGTTGTAGGTAGCTGGCGTTCTGTATGCTTCTTTTATCTGGATATCATTTCTTTTTGCTATACGTGGGAAATTTTGCTTTAATATATCTGTGAATATTTTTTGTATTTCATTTTTGGATGTTCCTGCTTCCTCACTCACATTCTTTATTCTTAGGTTATGTATCTTTTTATCATCTTCCAGTTTTAGAATTGCTTCTTTCTGGTTCCTTGTTATTTTTAAGAGGCTTTTTCTTTCACGTTCATAAGCCCTAAATCTCTCTTCAAGTTTCAGAAGGTTGTCTTTAGTTTCTGTCAAGGCATTTTGCCAATATTCAGTGGAGTTTTTAGTTTCCTGATATTCTCTTTGGATCTGTTTCATGTATTCTAAGTTATGCTTAAATTCTTCTTCAGATGCTTCTCTTTCTTTTCTGATTTCCTCAGTTCTTCCATCTGTGTTCTCTTGGGCGGGGCTTGTCATTTCTTTAATTAATCTCTTTATATCTTGCCTCACTTGGATCAGGAGTACATCTTTAAATTCCTCTATGAGATCATGTAAGTACTTTTTAATTTCGGCTGATGCTGTGTCGAGTAGAGGATGGTTACTGTGTTTGTTCTCTTCAGTGTTTAATTCTCTTGGGTTTATTTTCTCCTGTTGAACAGCTGGAGATTTTTTTTATTTTTATCTCTTGTCATGTTTCTGGTTTCTTTCAGACTGTCCTGGAGTTCTCTGGCCCTCTCCGAATTGCTTAGGGCCTTTCAGAAGTGTGCTGGCTTGAGTTTTTGCTGTCCTCCCCAATTTGCTGTTATCTGGGGTAGGCTGGGATGCAGGGGCGGTACAGTCTAGTCTCTAGCCTCTGTGTCAGTTAGTTCATAAATTAGGCTGTACTTTCTGGTTGTCACTGAGTTGTGACTATTTTGTATCCGCTTATTGGGCCCCAAGCAGAGGCTTGGTTTAGCCCCAGTAGCTCCTGCCAGTTCTCTTTGAATCAGAAGCAGCTGAGTAATGGCACAGGATTCTGCCCAAGTCCCAGCCGTTCTCTTCCAAACCTCTCTGTGATAGGAGCACCAGAAAAGCAGATCTGCCCAAAACTAAGATGGCTCCCACTAAGTTCTCTGTGTGGAGCTGAAGCCAGCAAGTAATCAGGCTCTGCCAGGACTCAAGATGTCTTCCACCAGCCCTCCCTACAAGGGGACCTGGTGATGTCACCAAGCTGCGGATTCTGCCACCAGGCTAATATGTCTGCACCAGACTCTGTGTTATTGATTTCCCTGTGGTGGCGGGCCAGCTGTTCTCTGGCCAAACCCAGCAGCCACGGGGTTCTCTGTACTCACCAGAGTCCGGTGCAAGTCCTCGTTCCGGGACCGCCGCACACCAAGCTGTCCACTTTTCCCGCACGCCCGGCACAGCGCTGACCGGTCAGATATCTGTGCACCGTTTAGATTTGAAACGCCAGAGCTTTGTACCTCCGCTCTGGTGCAGTGGTGCAGAACTGGCTGCTACTTGGAGTCTCGGTCCGGGTGTCAGTTTCCCGCAGTCCCCAAAAGCAACTCAGCTTTTCGTGCTGGGTCCACGAGTCTGTTTGTTGATTTAAGGGCGCGGGATTTGCAGCCTCTCGTTATCGGCGTTGAAGGTCTTAGCACGACTTTAAATCCTCCAGCTGTACTGTCTTGGTTAATAAGAATCGCTATCGATTTGTCTGGCCCTCTCCATGCTGTCTTTTTTTAGCTTCGAGTTTGAATTCTCTGGAGAGACTCTTCGCTCGATCCCCTAGCCTGCCGCCATTTTCAGAATCAGCCTGGGTCTCAATCTTTTGAGAACTGAAAACTGGTCTTTTCCTTAACACTGTTCTATAGTGTGACATGACATTGTCATTAAGTGAGTGAATACAGCGATTGGCTTTCTCTCTCTCTGGATGGATCTTCTCTACAGGTGCTGGTAGCTCTGTCCATGTTTTCAGAAGTTTCTTTATTTCAGAAGAAGAACTTTGCTGCACTGATTGTTGATTCTCCCCCTCCTCTTCAGAAACCTCCTCAGCTGCTGTTCTCTGTGCTAAGCCCTAAGTTGCTGAGGTCATCTGTAGACAGCTCTTCCACCATGGTCTGACTGTAAGCCTGGGCTCTGCTATGGTGACAGCATCATCAGCCATAGGGTCCAATGAGGGTTACACATCTTTCAAAGCTCTCTTGTGCATGCATTTTGGCCACATTGTCTCCCAGGCAGATCTCAGTGTTTTTAGAGAGACATTGGCCCAGGATTTCTCAGTGAACCCCACTTAGGAAAGGGTGTTGTAATGTTTCTTCCAGAACTCTTTAAGCATTGAATCAGTATGAGGCCATCTAGAAGCCTTTTAGGAACAATTCCTTGCTGTGTAGCTTCTTAGCTGTAACCTTCTGGTCCATAGTAGGTGGTAGAGGAGGAGCTGTATTAGGTGGGAGGAACTTGACTGAGAACCAAGGGAATTCCTCAGCCAGTTCTTCCAAATCTCCTGGGTGAACAGGAGCACTATTCATAGTGAGGAGAGCCCTTTGTTCTTTAGATATTTCTTTACTGTAGAGCAAAAAGCCTCCCTGACCTCAAGGTAAAGTACCCTTACTATCTAGACTTTTGTGTCAGATCTCCACATGACGCCTAGTGTATTCTTCATGGCTTCATGCATTCAGAACACTTTAGGGGTCTCAGAGTGATAGACCAGGAGAGAAAGCTTTGTCCTGAGGTCATTACTCACTTTGGCACATAGCAGTGAGCTTAGCCTCTCTGTCACAGGCTTGTGGCCTGGCATTCTCTTCTCTTCCTGGAGAATGTGTATTCTCCTGGGCATTTTGTACCAAAAAAACCAAAAAAACAAAAAAACAAAAAACCAGTTTATCAAAGTTGAAAACTTGATGGGAGCAAAAGTCATTTTTCTGTGTCATCATTTCACAGCACTGGTTGCTTTTCTGAGCACTGGCTGCTTCGCCGTGCCTAGTTACCCTACAGACCCCAGTTCTTGCTTTAAAATTGTGAAACCACCCCTTGCTGGCATGAAATGTTTCACTATTATCACTCATGGATGGATTATCCTTTATAAGATCTGCCTTTTTGGCCTAGTTTTCCACAAGTTATAGACTCAGAGAGGCTATCACCTGCCATCTGCCTTTGTTTATCTACACTAATGATAATCTTTCCACCTCATATAACACTGTTGATCGTGACTTACTAACTTGAGTAACACCTCTAGCAACACTAACTTCCTTTTTTTTTTTTTTTTTTTTGGTCTTTTTTCGTTTTTATCGGTACCAGGGATTGAACTCAAGACTGCCTGCTTACAAGGCAGGCGCTTATGCTGCTGAGCTAAATCCCCAGCCCCAACACTAACTTCCTTATAAAAATCTTTTCCTTGTAAGATTGTTGAGGTGGTGGATCTCAGCATGCTGTACATATTAGTGAGATCAGCCACATGCATGCAGCTCTCATATTTCTCCACAGTTCCCTTCTTTTTTTTTACCACCAGAGTCAATATGGAAGTTCCCTTCTTTTTGACTGTGATTGCTTTCTTTACCTTCTCTTCCTTCCTTAGCTTTTTTTTTTTTTTGGGTGACTTTGATTGAAGTAATCATAGTGATTATATAAAGCACTGACTGAAATCATGTCCACAAACACACATATGGGCTCAGACTGATGGTCATATACACTTGCATACACTTTCTGGCATCATGAACCTTTTGTTTACAAGCACACAAGCAAGTGGCATTTGATTCTGATCATAAGTTAAACCTAAAATTCCAGTTGGAACCCAGATTATTCATGTGAGACCAGTCGTAACTCAAGGGTCCACTGTAGTTGTTTTCAGTTTGAAATTTTTTAAGTGACAGAAATGTCTATTTTTATATTTTTATCTGAATCTACTTACAAACACTTAAGATAAAAAAATAAAAAGAAACCCTAAAATAAGATAATTAATAGTATAGATTAATAGTATAGAGTATACGGATGGAATTGGGATGATGGTGGGTGTCATTTCACCTCCATGCTGTGACGTGATTGGGTTTTGGTGTTACTGTCTACAGCATTTTGTTTTTAAATGTAGGCTTCCCTTTATCCTAACCTCCAATAAAGCTGTCACTCGGCTGATTTTATCAGAGACACCTCACACTCGGAGCATCTGGCAGGAGTGGTTGCTGGGCAGCAGTTTTTAATTAGGCTTTAAAGTATGTCTGCAAAGGTTCCAAGGAACCTCTGCTGACATGCTCAGTCCCCTGTCCCTCAGGTGGTGGGAGCAAGGCCATCTGTGAGCTCATCCCCCTACCTGGACCCCGATTGGGACACACAGGAGCTCTCCCTGGGGGAGTGTGCAGGGAGAGAGCACAGAATTGCCTCATCTCTTTGCAGATGAAAATGGAAAGAGTGGGATGGCAGAGGCTGTGCCTGAAATGAGGATTCTAGGAGGGATCTGGTCTCCTGCCAGGTACCCCAGGGAGACAACACCTTCCCCACATCTGCAGTGGGGACCTGCAGGACTCAGTGAGCTGCGTCCCTAAAACACCTTCTGTTCTCAAATTCTACCTCAGGCGGAGTCCAAAGAACCACCTAAGGGTGACGACATTCCACCTGAAACGAAGGATTCGGTTTATTATGCCAAAGAAGGAAAGAAGAAAACATCGGTAGAAACTTTAATCCCAAGCGGTGCAGGTAACGGGATGTTTCCTTTTACCACCGACGAAGCAAAACACAGACCCAACACGCATGTTGTGCATCTGTGCCCATGGGCGCAGGAATATTTCTTGACCTGTACCCTCTGGCTTTTTAAACACCACACCCACCTTGTAGATCACTGACAAGCAGAGCTGAAAAACGGATGTCCAGCTCTGCAGGCAGTGCATTTCTCCAGGGTTTGAAATCGGCTCCATACTCCACATGCACACCAGGCTTCTTCAAGGACCAGTGACCCAGAAAAATAACAAGTGCAGCCTTTGAGGGAAATTTGGATATAAAAGCCATGAGTGTCTTTGGAGGATGGCTCTCCAGACTTAATTTAACTTTATTTATTTATTGCTCATTTATTTGCTTTGGAGCCCAGGTCTCACAGTGTAGTGCAGGATGGCTTTGAACTCCCTGTGTAACCCAGGCTGACTTTGTATTCCCGGTGACCCTCCTGTCTCAGCTTTCTAAGTGCTGAGATGACAGGTGTGTGCCAGACTCAATTTTAAAATGAGAGAATTTTAAGCATTCTGTCACCAGTCCTACTTCTATTCTGATTCCTATGTGACTTTTCCTGAGTGCCTCTTGGGTCGGGAGCTCTGGGTAAAGCCCTGTGCTTGTTCTCTTGTCTTCCTATCCCCTGCCCACGGAAACTGGGGTTCTCTTCAGCTCAAGACCTGGGGAACGGCTCTTCTGGGCTGAGTACTAGAGAGGGAGGAGAAGAATGAGGTGGTCCAGGTGCGGGTTGAGCAGGACCAACACGGCAGAGCAGGGAGCGAAGTGGGCCTGTGATTGGACTTTTCCCGTTTTGGATGCTCGCACTCATTGGAGCCCGTATTTATGTTTTGGATGCTGCAGCTGACTGGGTCTCTTCTTTCACTTCTCATCTCATCCATGGCTTTGGATGAGGTTGAAGATAGACTTTTCAAAGGTCTCAGAATGTTATACGCATTGAACATATCCAATGGAAGTGCTAAAGAGGTTTCCGGGTGTTGATTACGATCTGTATCTTATCCCACACAGCAGCAGCACTGGTTGCTCTGACCCGGTTCTTTAGTACACTCTGCAGCTGTGCTTCCAGTCTGTGCTGAGAGTCTGCTGTCTGGCGGGTTGCTGTGTACTTATTTCTAATCAGGTTAGCTGGACCCAGGAGCATCAGGCATGCACTGTCTGCCACAGGGAGAGGGTGGGAGACAGATGCCAGTGAATTCCAGGGCCCTGGACTTCTGTGGAGCCAGAGACATAGACAGACCTTGTAGAAATGGAGGCTCACTGAGCTGAGGCCACGAGGGAAGTGAAAACAGAGGACAAGTGGGTGAAGGAGATGGCACAGCATGGAGCCCAGGCCCCTGGCCAGGCTGCCTGTCTGCTGACATTGAAGCTGGGGATCCTGAGTTTATAACTGGTTTGGGTTAGAAAATGAGCAAAGAGTGGGTGTTTGTGGTGCATGCCTGTAATCCCAACCCTGTGGAGGCTGAAGTAGGAGGACTGCCATGAGTTCAAGGCCAACCTGAACTACTTAGGGAGACCTTGTCTCAAACACAAAATGAAACACAAAAAAACCACAGTGGACTTCAATTCCTCCACTGCTCTGCAAACCCTGTGGGTGTTCTTTCCCCAGAAGGTGACGTGTACAAAGCCCAGACTCCTACCAAGGATGCCCAAGGGGCTCTGGACGTCAAGGAGGATGCAAATGTGAAGGTGGAGATGCCTGTGGACCAGGTGGGTACTCTGGATGACTGTGCTCCACTGCCCCTGCCTGCCTCAGCCTCCTCCATCCCCCCCGCCCATTCCCAGTATCTGATATATTCCAGTCCCTTCATCCCCTGGGTGCTTCTGTGCAGGTTGTGTGTGTGTGTGTGTGTGTGTGTGTGTGTGTGACTGCATACAGAATATGGCCCTTAATTGAGTATCACCTTGGCGGCCACCTGCCTGCTGGACTCCAGACTCTATAGGATTGCACCTTGAAAGGGCCCTGGCAAACAGGATGCCCTGGGCCATTGCATATGGATGACGGCATGACAGGATGAGTGGCACTGTCAGACAGCGTGCATGAAAGCTGGGGCTGCAATGTCCCCATCTGCAGGCAGGGAGCATCATTTAGAGGAGGTGACACACTCAGCCACTGTCCCATCCTCCGGCTTCATGGGACTGGGGGAGTGAGTAAACCCTGAAGCCACACACATGGCCTTGTCTACCTGAAGGCACTAAAAGGAGCATTGCCATTGTTGGTTTGGGAGGAAATGAACGTCCTACAAAAGGTCAGTATTAGCACTGGAGTCTCAGCTTAACCCTCTCAAACAGACGGGGTCCCAGCCTTCCACTCGGGTTTATTCAGCACAGCATCAGGATAACTGGCCAGTTTGTCTACTCCTTCATTTTTAACTCCTGCTGTCTCTCTGTGCTGTGATATATTTTTATAACCCTGAAGCTTGTTTGGAGTTACTTTGACCACACGCCCCACTGAGTTTTCTAAATTACCAGTGATGTTATTTGCTCTTTTCCCGGATGTGATTAAAAAAAAAAGATCAAAAGATTTGGTTTTCTGTTAAAATCCAAAATAGCACTTGGGATGTTTTCGTGAACATTTAAAATTATAGTAATAAGGGAGCTAGGACGGGCAGGCGGGTACTTTTCAGCCACACTGGCCCTGGTGGTTGGGGTTTTATTGCGTATTTTCTGGGTTGTATATTGAAAGCGTACAACACAGGTGGTGGTTGATTATTTTTTTCCTGTGGTGCTGGGAGTGGAACCCAGGCCTTCACATATGCTAGGCAGGTGCCCGAGAGCCATTTCCCAGAGCTGGGCTCAGATTCACATATTCGTGTTTAATTTTTATTTTTATTATCTGTGTTTGAAGTACACAGTGACTGGACTCCTTGTAGAGAGTTGCTACACGCAGACAACACTGCTCAATTCTTTTTCCCACCCACTGACCCTCTCTTTTCTGCCCTCTCCCTCCATCCCTTCCCTTTTTAAAAATACCTATCTTGTGTTACATATCATCCATTTTTTTATTTTGCCCTTTAGTTGTGTAATCTTTGGGTTTCTTGTATAAGAGAAACAATACAATATTGAAGTTCATGTATCTGACTTAGTTCACTTTACATTAGGGCCTCCGGGTGCATCCGTTTCCCTACAAATGACTCAAGTTTATCTCTTTGTGGCAGAGTTGTACTCTGTGGTGTGCAAATACTATATTTCCTTTACCCATTCCTCTGCTGATGGATGTAGAGATGCCTCCCAAATTTAGTCTTGATGAGTTGTACTGCTGTGATCATGAGTGTGCATGGGTCATTTTATTTATTTTTTGTTTTTTAGTTTTGGTACTAGGAATCAAACTCAGGACCTTGCAGTTTCCAGGCAGGTTCTGTGTTGTTGAGCTACATCCCCAGCTCCTGCAAGTATCTCTTTAGCTTCTTCAAGAAGATGCCTGGAGGGGCTGGGGATTTAGCTCAGCGGCATAAGCACCTGCCTTGCAAGCAGGCAGTCGTGAGTTCGATCCCTGGTACTGATCAAAACGACAAAGACCAAAAAAAAAAAAAAAAAGACACCTGAAAGGGGAATAGTGGGTCGGAGGGGTTTGGCATGGGCTGACTGTGGCTAACTGTGACACAAGTGCGTTTCCTTCCCAGGTCCCCGCTGAAATGGTTAAAGAGGTCGATGATGCACATGACCACACCCTGAAGTTTGAAGGCATCAAGGTGAGCTCATTTTTTATCAATTCTATAGTGTGGGCTTCAGCATCTGCTCTTTGTCGTGCTGTGAGCAGAGCACACAGTTGGTGGCAAAGGACACAGGACCACAGATAGGTCCCAGACCGCAGATGCGTATCCAACCCCCATGTCCCTGGTCACTGTGGCTCAGATCTGGCATACTGTGCACCAGCAGTCATGGCATCACTTTGGTGGCTTTTATTTGTAGTTACCTCTCCCTGTATTCCACAGGGGGCATGGCAATGGGTGTGGGGACAGCCCTGCTGACTCCACAGATATCCTCTGGCAATTGGCCACTGTGTCATGGTCTCATCATGACCTTCAACCCGGGGTTCTGGGCTCTGACGACCCTTGCTCCTGTGGACCAGTTATTGGGACCACAGGTATCGGCTCCAGAGAGATGACATCACTGCAGTCTTGTTGAAAGAGAAGGGAAAATAGTTTCCTTTACTGTCAGCTGTGGGGCTCTGTTACCAGATTTCTGCTGCCTGATGTCTTTGGGGGTGATTTTTCCTTTTTCATGCTTTGAGTGCAGGAGGTCTGCAGCCAGGTCTGAGTCTGTGTGGATGCCAGGCCCCCCAGAGCTGTGTCTGAACTTAGGGACGCTGGTGATCCTGTGAGCTATCACCTGGGCTCTTAAGCTGTGTCATGTTTAGGACAAGGGAGGTCACTGCTGGTGCCAAGAGGGGACCCTGGTTCCCCACAAAGAACGAGGTGAAGGGCGTCAGTGAGGGAGCCATCGGCTCTTGGGAAGTTTGTTCAGGTTTTTTGAAAATCTCAAATGAGTTTGGGACCCAGAACAGCTCAAGGGAACTGTGTCAGCCCAACCGAGGGTGTGCACCTGCAATCCCAGCACTCTGGGAAGCTGAGGCAGGAGGATGGCAAGTTTGAGTCCCACCTGGGTAATTTTACAAGACTCTGTCTCAGAGTATAAACTAGGAAACAACTGGATATGTTGCTCAGTGTGAAGTCACTGGCTTTAATCCCCCCAAAAAGAAAAAAAATTCATAAATTTTTCTCTTTTAAACATTTTCTGATATACCATTTGGTGGCTTTAATTGCATTTAAATGTTATGTGTGTCAAGACATTTTCATCTCACCAGCAGAATGGTTTAGTTGGCTGTATCACTGCTGAGACAAAACATGTGGCACATAAAGAAGAAGAAGGAAAGGTTTATTTCAGCTCAGTTCCTAGAGGTTTCAGTCTGTAATTGGCTGGCTGCAGGGCAGGGAGGCGGGGCAGAGAGAAATAGTCCCTGGCAGGGCTGAAGGCAGTAAGCAGCTGACACTGCGCCCTACTCCTGGCCCTAGCATCCTATCCGGGCTCCCCTCATTAACAGTGAGCAGTGCTCACACTCATGGAGGGGTAGCCTCCGTCCTAGCCTTGCACCGAGAACCAGTCCCAGCTCACAGCCTTCACCCCAGCAGCGCAATGCTAGATCCAGCCAGTATATGGCACATGCGTGATACTTTTATCTTCCAAAAATGTTATTAATCTGAATTCACTAATTTCAACTTCTGTGAACTAATCAAAGCGAAAAATGTATTTTGTCCTTTTACCTATTTCAAATTGTGTTCACTGAACACTATTTGGGTTTTAGTTTTTTGAGACAAAGTCTCACTGTGTAGTCTAGGCTGGACTTGAACTCACTGTGCATAGCTAGGTTGGTCTTGACCTCAAGGTAATCCTCCTGCCTCAGCCTCCTGGGTGTTGGAGTTACATGTGTGTGCCAACATGACCAGCTAAAGCAATATTTTAGCATTTTTTAGATTTTATTTTTAAGCACTATTTTAAGTACATGGGGGGTCGAGTACAAACTGAGTCAGGGGGGCCAGTAATGTTCTCTAGTTCTTATTTGCTCTATCTAGATGCACTGATTGTAAAATATTTTATACCCAAGCAGCACTTTTCTGTTTTCAGTCCATGCTTCTGTTAAGTTTGTAAGACAATGTGTAGTGAGTTTGAAAAGATCTAATTCCTTTCCAAATCAATAAGGAAGGGACACAGTGCGGCTCTGGGAAAGGACAGGGAAGAGGTGTGTAGAACTTTGCAGGGTGGCAGAGACCCCGCCCCTGGCCCACTCAGCCTGCTCTGTACCCCTGCATGGCACAGAGAAGCCTATGTGTGGGGTTGGGGCGGGGGGAGGAGGGATGTCAGATTCTGAGTCACTCTGTGGCTTTGTGATCCTTGTCACAGTCAGTCAGCTTTTGCGTGCTTTTGAGAAGGCTGTGTGTAAAGTTCCCGCAAAGAAAGGAAGGGAAAGCAAAGGTCTTGAGCTTTGGGTGAACGCTTTTGTCCCTTTGGGAGCTGCTGTGCTTTTCTGCCTCAGCTCAGACCCTCCATGGTGCTGCCTGATTACCCCGGGCTCCCTGCAGATGCCACTGCTCTCTGCCAGCTCCTCGGCACTCCCCTGCTTGTGTCTTTCCACTTTGGTCGCCATCAGTGTTTGGTCTGGGCTTCTGGTGCCCTCTGGCCACTTGCTAGGGTTTTTGGAGGAAAGATGTGAGCACAGTTGTGAGGCTTTGGAGGAAGGATCTGAGCCCGACCCCCTGCACATCATCTTAACACCTGTTACATTCCCTGGTGGGAGGAGTAGCTGATCTTCAGTCTGAGGATGAACCAGAGCCCAGCTAGGGAGGCAGGACAGGAGCTTCTGGCCCAGGAGGCTGGAGGGTGGTTGATCCTGGACAGGAGGGGTCCCCGAAACAGAGCACTGAAAGTGATGGGGATTGAGGGGAGGAGAGAAAGGAGATGGAGATCACGGGCAGGATAGGGGTGAAAAGAGAGCTGAGATGCATTCTGTGCACAGCCTACCTCCTCACAGCACCCTGAAATGTGTACTCATAATAAAAAGATCAAAGGAAAAAAAAAAAAAAAAGCACAGGTAGCCATTCAGTGGGACTCCAGAGGTGATAGTCTACGTAAGAAGTGACCATGTCCCACGCCAAACCTATTGCTCCAGGTGATAATTAAACCTTTTCGGTTTTTTTGGAAAATACTATATATTCAGAGGTTAATCAAAGAGGCTGGAAGGGTAGCTCAGTGGTGGGGCTCTTGCCTAGCCTGTGTGAGCCTGGGGTTAGTTTCCAGCACTATGAAAGAAAAAAAAGATGTTGGGGCTGGGCATTTAGCTCAGCGGCATAAGCGCCTGCCTTTGCAAGTGCGTGATTGTGAGTTCAATCCCTGGTACTGATAAAAGAAAAAAAGAAAAAAAAAAAGATGTTGACCAAAATAAGGAAGAAACTACTTGCCACAAATCAAGTTTTCTTGATTTACAAAGAGCATCACAAACCATTCATACAAAGACAGCTCAGGTAAATAAAACAAATGGGAAACTCACTGAGGAGAATGCGAATTCAGTGTCTCCACCACTAGTCTCAACGAAAGAAATGCAAAATGGACAGCGAGGTTTGTTTCTCTCTGTTTAAATCATTTAACAGTGTCCAGTATTAATTTAGAATGAGGATTTATTTTACAGTATCGTGGGTAGCTAAGTAGTAGATTTAGCTGGACGTGTAGATGCAAGAAAGCAGGGGTAATTCTTAGGGCTGACACAGAGATTGGCACAGTCTTTTAGGGAAGGAATCCGCTCCTTGTGTTGAACTAAAATGTACACCTGTGCTTTGAACCATCATCTTGATAGGCAGGGCTAGCCCACAAATATATTAATTAATGACAGTGATAGGAACGAATGGGGCTTGGTAGATTGAGTTTTTCATCCTTCATGGAAAGGAAAACAGGATGGCAGTGGAGTCCTGGAGACTGAGACGTACTGAGTGTGGGGAGCTGCAGGTGTTTAGTGACTTAAAGGAAATCAGGGTGCAGTAGAGAGTATAGTGCTGTTCCCATTTGTGCAGAAATATTTAACAAGCTGTACATAAAAACGGTACTTATGATGGGAAAGGCACAGTGCTTAGCAGCATGAGAGGAGATGAGAGGAAGGGCGTCAGAAGGGAAGAAACAGGGGCTCAGGGCTCCACTGTGAACTCTTGATGGTATTTATGATGGTTTATGAGATGATTTATGAGGATTTACCTGATGGATGAGAAGTGACAGAGGGAGTTAAGGCTTTATAAGGTGTGATGGGGAAATATATTGAATGTTTACATTTTAGAAAATTATTACAGTAAAAGACACATTGCCATGGATCCCCCTTCAGAGTCCTCCCCCTCACCTCACACACTCATCCCATCGGTCTTGCCGCTTCCTGCAGCAGCTCTGGAGTCCTCTTTCCTGAGGGTCTTTAGCTGTGCTGTCCTGGCTGCCTTGATGTCCTGAATGGATTCAAAGCATTTCCCTTTCCTAGTCACTGTGACTTTAGGAGGAGCCAAAAGTCGCATGGTGATAAATGTGGATGAAGACACTGTATCACACAGTATCGTGTTTTTAGGAGCCAACTTTCTGTTGGGTGGTGCTGGGCAGCAGCAGTCACTGTATTTTTAATTGTACCTGGTAAAGACCCTCAGGAAAGAGGACTCCAGAGCTGCTGCAGAGAGTGGCAGGGGTGGTGGGATGAGTGTGTTTTAAACGAGAATATTTTAAGAGGGATTCATGAGAATGTATCTTCTACTGTAATAATTTTAAAATTTAAACATTCACTATATATTTTGATCATCCTATGTAGGTAAACATCCCCCCCTTTTTTTTACAGTTACTTGATTGCTATCTTTTTTCCCCAACAATAGGAAAAAGAAGAAGAAAGGCATTATGAAGATATTGAAAGAAAGGTTTGTATGAATGCATGATAGTTTTGTTTCCCATTCTAAAGACAGGGCAGTTTATGGGCTCTCAAATCTTGCCACTTGCTTTTGGGAAAACAGACCTTACACCTGTCACAACTACATCTTAGCTCTGCTCTCAGGGTTAGAAAACAAACTCAGTGGGAAAGAAACCCAGCTGGTTGTGGTGGTGCACGCCTGTAATCCCAGCATTTGGGAGGCTGAGGCAGGAGGATTTGCTGTGAGTTCCAGGCCAGCCTGGGCTACAGAGTAAGACCCTGTCTCAAAAAAAAAAAAAAAAAATCCTACATCCCTAGGAAATCCAGTACTGGGAACCACCCTCTGTAAACACCAAGAACTCCTTTTAGGGAAGCACCTTAGGGATCATCCTGAGTTTTCTGCCCCAGTCTTTGGGGCTCACTCCAGGAAGCCCTAACACTACCCATTTGGACTCCAGCTGAGGCTGGGCTCCAATTAGCTGCCCCCTAATCTGGCAGGATTGCCTGATCTGAGGGGTCAAACTTTTAGTGTTAATTTCATTTCTCACAGGGTATATGTTTGTGGTGATAGTGCAAATTAAGAGATGCTTATGAAGAACACCCTACACTAACTTTGAAAACAAAAAATTAAAATTTTAGATCACAAACGTCTACACTGAATTTCTCTGCTTCTGTCCCATAAAGGACTGGCAGTGATCCTCTAGAAAATAAACTTGGGGCATACCTGGGGACACTGGGGTACAGGTTTTTTGGTTTCTGTCTTGGAGGAGAGGATGGGCACGTGGGGGTCATTTCAAATGTAGATGCGTCAAGACAGGTTGCCAGGGTGACAATTCCAGGAAGAAGATGAAATGATAATTGTGACACTTTTTAAAAAGCTTCCACATCAAGTAGGATTGTAATGAAAAGTAAGTCTGCTTTCCAAAAACAAAGGTACCTAAAATCAGACACTTAGCACTGATAAACATCTGTTTTAGAAAGTGAGGCATTTTCTAAGTTTTGTGACAGTCCAACTGTATCAACTGTGTGTGGACGGCTATCCCCCCATTTCTGAGCATCAAGTATTTCGTTTTATGGAAAACACAAAAAACAAAACAAAACAAAACTGGTTTTGTTTGCTTTTTGAAGAGTCTGTATTTTAATGTATTGGAGAAACAACAAAAATGACCAAGCTTAAGAACTTTCCAACAGAACTGTGCCTGTGAGTTCGTTCATTTCTCGGGATACTTGTCAACTCTAGAGAATGTGTATAGGGGCGACCCCTGTGCCAACGAAACCTCAGTGACTACAAATTGAAGTCTTTGAAGTAGAAACACAGTGGGAGAATGGTGTGGCAGGGACACGGCAGGGCTGTGTCTCTCCGCAGTGTGCTTGGAGTGTGCCTGGCAGGTTTATCATCTAACCTTCTAACCTAGGGAAGCCCTGGGAGTAGCCAGAATGCACAGTGCGTGTGTTTGCTAATTGAACATGGGTATGGAGTTGGTGTCTCAGAGCAGACAGGGATGAACCAATCAGGTTTTTCCTACGGTGGCTCCTTGGGGAAAATTTTGTTGTTTGTGGCCATTTTAGGGATGGCTCCAGTCTGGTCTGGAGAAGTAGCTGGTAGGAGGTCAGTGGGTACTGTGGCAGTGCCCGTCTTGTTCTGCAGAGGCCTGGCTCCCAATCTCATATTTAACCCATAGCTATAACGATAGTTCTGGTCTGATCTCTCCTCTCTTCAGTGCTGTATCTTTGTTTTGTGAATCAGTTTTCCCAAGAAGTATTCACTTTTCTTTTCTTCGTTTCTTTCCCTACCTCCTCTCTTTCTTTTTCTCAGTTTTTTGAAACGAGGTGTCACTATGCAGTTCAAACTGGACTTAAACTTGTGATCCTCCTGCCTCAGCCTCCCAAGTGCTGGGTTTGCAGGTGTGCACTACCATGCCTGGCCTGAGTCATTTCTTAACACGGGTTTTCTTTGAGCAGTCACTTTCAAAAGCTCTGCCTTTTGCCAGTTATCCCCTAGCTATTTTGTGTATGTTCACGCTGTCGCTAGTGTCAATGGAATGGTTTAACTTTTCCCCTGAGGTCAGGGCTTTGTATCCACTCATCTCCTCTCCCTGCTGAGTAGCACTATTTCCTTAATAACCCACCTGGAGCGTTCTAGGATTAGGATAAGAATAAGGGATGTGATCATCTCATAAGTTTTAGTTTCATGTTGTCCAAACCTAGGAATTTCAACCACAGTTTGACTCTGGGTGGGTTTATAATGATAAGAAAATTAAAATGAGAAGTCTGGGTTATTTGGATACAGTAGTTTTGGAATAGTAGTTTATTGTTGGCTACCATTACTATGAATTATTTTATTGCTTTGTTTAGAAAAACCATGCTGTTTCTTTTTCAAATCCATTTTATTCATAGATAAAAAGAAAGAAAAATAAATAAATAAAAATACTACAACAAAATCAGGGGGCAACAATGGTACATACATTGTGCATTGTTACCCCCAAATCATTCATCCAGAGCACAAGACATCTACATTCAATGGTCCAAACAATACCAGTACAAATCTTTCTCTTCAGAACTCAGAGAAATCAGTAGTACAACTATCTTAACTATTTTTATATATATAATCAAACATATATACACATGATTTTTCTTTCAGCTTATCACATGAATGAAACAGTATTATGAAAAAACTGTGTTGTGCTATATTTATTTATTTAAGTTTTTTGAGACAGGGTCTCAATTTGTATCTCAGGCTGGCCTTGAACTCACTGTGGTCTTCCTGCCTCAGTTTCCCAAGTTCTTGGATTACAGACCTGCACCACCATGCCCATCTCCTAGCTTTTTAATTTCTTTTTATTGTGACTCCACCTAGAATCATATCGTGCTCAGAAAGCACTTGCAGACTGAAGTCTTACCAGCTTGGTGCAGGGTTTGAAGGAGATGCCTGTGGCCAGTGGACATTAGCTCATACTTAGGGTGCCCCTGAGGCTCAGAACCACGGGACCTCATCCAGGATTTTCCCAGAGAGCCTGAGACAGAACAGGCAAAACCAACCAACCAAGTGCCACCCCAACACAAAAGCTGAACAACAAAAACCAAAAGTGTGCCATTAATACGCTACCAGCTGCACCACCAGCAATCAAGCGGGCGACTTTTTTAGAAATAGAAGTAGTGGCTTAGATCAGTTAGCATAAGCAACACCTAAGTGACTTGAGAGGCTCACCAGATGCTTAAGTTCACAATGCAGCTGCTGACAAGAAGACTGTTCAGGCGTCGAACTGAAGTCCTTGCAGATCTACAGCAGTGATTCACTCTTCTTGTCCTCATGTGCGTTACAGGTTGAGTAGCAGAGGGTCTCCATCTGATTAACCTGCCAGAGATGCTGATCAGGCCAGAGATCTTTGAGTCTAGTGTTTTCTCTCAGGATTCTTGTGACAGAATGAGAATGACTTTGATTTTTTTTGTCTTTTCCCTTTTTATCGGTACCAGAGATCGAACTCATGACTGCCTGCTTGCAAGGCAGGCGCTTATGCCATTGAGCTAAATGCCCAGGCCCATGACTTTGATTCTTGAACTGACTTTTAAACTTCATCTCCTACTGATTCACCTTCCTATTTTTCTCTTTATTATCTTGATACTATGAAGTCTTTTATTGCTTCTTTAAGAGATGGGGTCAGTATTGATCCAGGCTAGAGTCTTGAAAGCTAAGTGTGAGGCATCAATAATGCTAAGCAGGGCTGCGGTGAATTGAATTGAATATTAAGTAATGGAACTTCTATAAACAAATAAAAATTGGTTCCTCCATACATAGGAGATACAGTTGGAATGAAGTAAAAAGAAAAAAAGACTTTTTTTTAAAACTTTAGAATAGAAAGGGTGCTTCATCTCCAACACATGGCAAATATGTAATCTGTGCAATGGTCATCACTGATCAAACACAGGTATCCAGCTGGTGTCTTAGAGCAGTGAGGGATGAATCAGTTTTTTTTCCTATGGTGGCTCCATGGGGACAGTTTTGTTGTATTTGTGGCCATTTTAAAAATGGCTTCAGTCTGGGCTGGAGAAATAGCTGGTAGGAGGTCAGTGGGTTTTGCTGAAAGCAGACCTTTTGTTTTAGGTACTGGGGACTGAACCCAGGGTCTTTGCATTGAGCTGTAGCCCAGTCCTATAAATATTTTTATTGTTCTATAAGTTGCCTAGGATGGGCTCAAACTTGCGATTGTCCTGCTTCAGTCCCCCTTAGTGCTGGAGTGGCAGAAGCATGTGCCATTCTTGGCAGTGAAAAAACTCTTAGTGTGAGCACACTTCTGTCCCGTGGTGGGAGAGTCGATGGAAGGGTTTTGTGTGACTTTATTTCCAACTTGGAGAGCCTAACTTGCAGGAAGAAGCCATGGGAGAAACAGAAGCAGAAACCTTAGCTCAGCTGGCTGGTTCACTCCGAGCTGTGGGCTGCTGTGATGCAGGACTTTTCGGGATGTGTGGTCATCTTGCCACACTTTGTTGCTGTAGGGTTTTATTAGAATGTGGCCAGATGGCCCATGGAACATGGCAGCCCAGGAGGAGGGACGCTTCTTATCTACATTGCCTTCATTTTCCAGTTACAGAAACACAAGTACTAATTTTTAAAATGTATGGCTCACTCCTAATTACAATGCACCAAACTAGGACTGTGTGAAGGTTTGTGTGAATTTAGTCATGGTCATGAATGCAATTGTTAGACACAAAAAGTAGCATTTTCCATTTTCATTTGTGGAAATGCCTAAGGAGAAATCTTTATTGGCTGGCTCTGCCTGACTCTGCGAATGTGCTTTCAGGTTAATTTATTACCTACTCACCCGAAACTGACAATGATATTTTGGAGGAAATAATATACTCTTTCACGCATCGAGGAAAGAAAATCAGAAACTGCCCTTGAAAAGGCGCTCCAAGGTCCTGGTACTTGAACTTGACAGGTGAGGGTACGGGAGCCTTCTTTCTCCCCACATGCCTTCCTGAGGCTGGCAGCTTCTCCCCCAGGGAAAGCAG